AAGCGCGGGGGGCGGGGCTTCGGTGGTGGGGGGCGGGGCCTTAGGGGGTTTGGGAGTAAAGCGCGGGGAGACGTGGCGGGGGCCAGTCGGGTAGAGGGTCGCTGGGTGGGCTGCGGCCCGAAGGAAGAAGCTGTCATGGGGGAGTTTGACGCGAGGCCACAGGGTTGAGGGGGAGGTAGCAGAAACCAAGGCAACCTAAAAAGGCGGGAGACCGGTCAAGGCTGAGGACCAAGGACAGGCAGGAGCTGGCGTGCGCGAGGCTCCTCTCGGGGTACGACTTGGGTAGAACAGAGGAACAGGGCGGAGAAGGCATAATTAGACAGGGTACCTGGGCAGAGAAGCTAGAGACCGGGGATTTGGTAGAGAAGGTTAAGTAGAGAAGGTTAGAGTGAAAGACATAGGCCGAAGTGCGAAGATCTGGGAGGCAATGAGCCGAGTGGGAGAACCATGTAGTAGAGAACAAAGTCCGGATAGAGTGAAAAGTGCTGTCTGGAGTACTGTGTAGGGTGAGAAGTCCGGGGAACCTCGGAAGGAAGAGATTCACTGCATAGGACCTCCAAGAAAGAAATGTAACAGAGAAAGTCCTGGGGCAGACAACCAGAGGGAACAACAGACCTTGAGAAGCAGGTCTGAACTAAAACAGCCCTCCCTGTACCTCTTCACACAGACCTATTCCCAGTTATTTTCTTCCCCTTTATCTAATAGAATTGTAGATCCTCACTACCTTTGATTTCTGTGCTTTCTTTCCCTCCCTAATTATGAATGGCCCTATCTGGTGACAGTGGAGTATTTAATGGGAACATAGACCTAAATATGAGTTGTTTAGGAAATATAGTACCCCATTTCCCCCTCCAAGGTCAAGAATTTACTAACTCTGCTTCCAGGAAGACTTGATGTATTACCAACCACATTGTGTCAAGTTTTGCACACCTTCTTTCGCCTCAGTGCCTTCTCTTATAAGCAAAACTGTCTACTGTTGTGACTCTTACCCACCCCCACTTACATGTTTGATAGCTGCAGCTGTGCCCCAGTCTCCCCAGTATGAGCCCTCAAAGCATCAAGGGTGAGCTTGGTATATTTTTGACTTGCTCACAGGTCAGCTCTAAGCCTTCCAACATCATAGCCAAGCAGAAGACTCTGGAGGCCTAGCTGTTTCCCCTTACTGCTACTTGTTCACTTTGCCTATGTGAAGGTACATGTTCATATCCTTAGGAAGTATTAAAAACACGTATCTCACTACCTAGAATATTTCCACTTAAAGATAACTAAAATTCTGAAGACAAGACGAGATAAAAGGCCAAATCAGACGCTGTTTGAAAGTATAGCATCTTGTTTGGTAGGGGTAGCTGGGAATTCCTCACCTCCTCATGGGTCTGCCAATGGGTCCCTGAATCTTGCTTTGTGGTGTGCGGAGGACTTCAGCCTTCCCCACTAACAGCCTAATTCAGAGAATCCAGACAGCTCCCTGGGTCATGAGAACAGTCAAAAGAGTGGCTCCTTAGTTAAAAATAAAGTCTTAAAAGAAGAAAATCACCTTACTATGGGGAAGCAGGAGAGGTCTCTCTAGAGTAGGCCCCAGGACAGTGGGAGCTGTCCTCAATTTGGCAGCTTCAGAATCATATCTTGTCCTAATCAATAGATGCTGAGGTCTCAAGCACAAAGCATAATGTTTTCGTTGCCCACTGAGTGCAGTTAGCTGAATTGTAGCTTCTGGGCAGTCCCCTTACTCTCAGTAGGTTAAGGATAAATCATGTTTCAGGACTTGGCTCAGAAATAAGTCCTGACTTTTTTTCAGTAAAAATGCAACTGAAAATTTATTCCTTATTTCCTCTTAGTATATAGTCAGTACTTCCCAGCATGGGAGGAACATTATCCTATCTTTTATCCTACCTTCCCCACCCAACATCCACAAAGAAGTTATTTTCTCTCAGACTGGCCATCTCTTTTCTCAACACACACACAGAATAGTCAAGGAAAAAATAAAGATAAGTTATTGTTGGGCAGGTACTTCCAGCCTCATTTTACTCTGTAGGAACGAATAAGAGTGTGGGGCCCTGTGCATGTAGACAATGTCACAGGCGGAGGGATTCTCTTTGTTGGTCTCTTGACCCTGCTGGCAAAGGCTCTGAATTCCAAGCTCTTTTATTTGCCTCCTTTTCTCAGAAGTTGTGGATTCTGTATTGGGAACAGAGACAGGTTCAAGGTTTATCAGATGAAAGCACCTAAGAAAAGACAGTGCTGATGTGAATGGCCTGGTCCCCACCCTCTTGGGGGAGGTGGGGAGCATCAACCTTGTAGACTCTCTGGAATACTGCTGGTCTAATCCTTGAGCCGAGGAGCCCTGTTCCTACCTTAAAGAGATGTAGTGAGAGTCTAGGTTGACTTTTTCCTCAGGCCCATAATCTCTGAAAGCAGACATGGGAAGGAGAGGGTTCTTTCTTTTCCCATCATAAACCTGTATTTCTAGTTCAAGGATTTAAGTCACTGAGATGCAAACCCCAAAACTGTTCATTTCATTACTCAAGAAAGAGGGCAAGCAGAGTAGCCCCAAACCTTACAGCTGTGGCAAGATTTAACTTTGTGCTGTAGTAGAAAGAACCCGACTGGTTACTTGGGTGCTATTTGTCTTACTTCTATTGCTAACCAGATAGGGGACTCGGAGCTTAATTTCCTCTTCTGTTAAAAACCAAGAGATTGGATGTCATCTCTCAACTCCATTCTAGCTCCAGGATTCCCTAGGTCCTGGAGCAGCCCTGCCCCAGGCCCTCCACATGAAGAGAGGCTTACTAAATTGGATTGTCAGAGCAAGATTCCTTGATAGCCGAGGAGCCTGAAAACATCTTTTTCTGGCCCAAACAACAGTGAGCTTCTTTGGTCAGCATGCATTAGGGACTTCTGGCCAGGACAGCCACCAAAAGCAGTTGTTCCTGTCTCTTCCACCTTTTTGCCACCCTACACCAACCAGAGTAGTTAATTGAGACTTCCATGTCATTTCAGACTTCACTTGAGAGAGCAAACCGTTTTGGGCATCACCTCAAATTGAACTGCCCTGCTCCACTTTCATAACCCCTGCCCAAACATGCAGCTGAACAGCGTGACTTTGTGAGGCCTTTCTATAGAAGCAGGGCTTATATACTCAAGGGTATACCCAAAAGACTCAAAGTATCATCTCATGTGCATCACACCTAGTGATTTAAACTGTTTAGTTTGGCCCTTTCCTTATTCCTTAAATCCTGAAGTGAGACATGGGAGGGGTGAGATTGTTTCCCCTCCCACCCATAACCCTTAGCAGCATTCTCTCTCTTCTGCAGTCTGCATGGGGAGGACAGGGAAGCGCAAAGAACAAGAGAAAAGATGCATCATCTGAGATCTAAAAGGAGAAATGAGGTGATACTTTCCCACTGCCCAGGTGTTGTGTTTCCCGCTCTTACCCCTTCTTGTTTTAGAGACTGGCCATTCCTAGGGAGACCTGGGAATTCATCCCCTCCGCTCTGCTCCCCAAGCACTTGGATAACGAAGCTGAGCTGTCTTCATCTATGTTGTATGTAGGCAGAAGGTCACCATCTACAGCCTGGTGGAAAAAGGAGTCAGAGCTTTCTGCTGTACATACAGACACATGAGCTGAGAAAAGGTTGGTGGGTTTCCTTCAGAGGGCACTAGGTTGACCGTCAAGGTCATTTCATAGCTGCAAACTGCTCCATGTCAAGGTCTGGATCCTGGAAAGGGGCGTGTAGTCAGGTTGCAAACAGTGCCTAATTCTACCTCTTCCCTCAACCCTTCCCCCTCCCCAATTATGCAAAGTCCTGGTAGAGAGCAGAGCCACCTATGTGATTCCAGTGTTTTTGCTCAGATTTCATTCAGTTCAGGAGGGCACAGACAGGAGAAGATGATGCTAGGGGTTTGGTCTACTTGTAGTATCTGAACTGCTCAGGTCCAGGAAGGTGGAAAGTTCTGTCTTACTAATAATCACTGGGTTCTGCCTTAGATCCCAGGTCTTAAGAGGGGCCAGAGGAAAAAACTTCCACTTCTCCCTGTTGCACTTTGGGAATAATAACCAAAAGGATGGCATGGACCCTTGCCCCTCTCTCCACTCCCACCCTCTTTCCCACCAATATCCAATATCCTCCTCACTACCTTTCTACCTACTATGCTACATGGTGGGAGGAGGGAGTGTTTTAAATTCTCATTTTGTAGTGTCATTGGATCAAACAGGATTCTTTGGAGGATTTGAAGAGTTTTAATTACTTGTGATGTCCATCTTATTTTAGGCTTTCACAGCCACTACACAGAGAAAATTTAACACTCCAGTATTTTTGTCACCAATAGTTACAGATGGGGGAACGTTTTTGGGGAGATGGGAGATGGAGGTGTTAGCTGATGCCTGACCTGCCCTTGGAAGTCAGACCTTGGATTGGTCTCCCCTGCTGCTTGTCAGGAAGCGTGGTAGGAAATCTTCTGTCTAGAAGGGGTGCCCATTCCTGTTCAAATGTGATATCATGTTGACTGGAGAAAGCCAGGGCCATGGAGGACTCCTGTGATGGTGCGAAGTGCATTCAAAGGAACAGGGAAGAAAATCTTTGTCTCCAGAGGTTACAATGATCAACCTTCCCTCCCTTCTTACAGAGCTACTTTCTTCTGAATTGGGAGACTGGCTGTCTCTAGTTGCTTTGTATTCAGCTCACTGAACTGAATTTACAGTACATATGTACCGACCTCCATCACTGAATGATGTCTATGCTGCTGTAAAGCCAGTTTCCTTTCAAGATCTTTGAGCCAAACCTGTCTTGTGAAACTAACTTCTCTGTCCTTATACCTCTTCCCACTGTGGTGTGTCTCCAATTGGCACTGCCTAATTTGACCCAGTTCCTGTAAGGAGACACTAAGGTCTGCCTGGCTGGCCAGGCAGGGAAGGAGGTGCTGTGAAGGGCAGGGAGTGGGAAGGTAGAGAGGGATGTGCTGCCTGGAGAGTTGAGCAGACAGTGAAGTACATCTCCTGATGTGCTTGTGGCTCTCAGAATACCAGGATCGGGAACAGCAGAACCTCGATCCCATCTCACTCCCAGGGGTCCCAGAGTGGCATTTAGACAGTTGGAGGCAGCTAAAGATGGTTTTTGCCCAAGCTGTGTCATGGGGCACCTGTTAAGAACAATTAAGAAGCAGACGAGCTCAGTTTACTTCTAAGAACAAAGTCCAGCTCAGAAAACAACTCCTTCAGACCCTTCTGGCAATTATTTTGGGGCCATTTGGGCAGGTGTCCAAGAATGAGATACACTTCCTGAGCCAGTACTAGCTGAATGCTATGCTTCAGCTGCTCTGCCCACCTAGTGCTTGTCTAGCTCCTGGTTCTCTCTCTCTCTCTCTCTCTCTCTCTCTCTCCACACACACACACACACACACACACACACTCTCTCTCTCTCTCTCTCTCACACACACACACACACTATCTCTCTCTCTCTCACACACACACACACAATTGTATTAGCATATTTCTCCCCTTAGAGCCTGCTCAACTTGTTCTTCCTTTTCAAGTAACAGACCCCACTCCCACAGGGATCACACCAAAGAAAAATATGTTAGAACCAGGAAAATTGATGTTAGAACCAGGACAAGCAAGGAGATCCACAAAGGCCTTGAGTACCCTGGCTTTTGAAAGGAAGCAACATGGTTTAATGGAAAGAGCACACCTCAGAGAGGCCGGAGACTTATTCTTTTCCTTGTTCCGACCTCACTGTGAGCCCTGAGACAAGTCTGTTAGCTGCCCTGAGCCTCAGGTTCTCTAAGCAGAAAATAGGGGAAATCCTGCTCACTCTTGCTTCACCTGCCTGGGGGCGGTGTGTGTGAGGGAAGTTACTTGTGGCATCTTGAGCTTTGCAAAATCCCAAAGGGCAATTATGGAGCTAATGACTCAGAAATGAAAGGGGCCCGTGGGTACCAGACTGCCTTCCCTCACATTTGCATCCCTGACCACCACAAGTTCTAAGGCTAGTTCCAGAGACTCTGAGTTCACTAACCACTGTGGACTTGGGCTCTTCTCATCATTGCCCCTAAGGGAACCTTCAAGGAACCACTTATTCTTGTGGCTTGGTTTAACAGTCTAGTCCTAAATCTCAGTCCATCCCAGGGAGGATGTCAAGAAAAGAGGAGCTGAAAATAAATTTAGAGAATTTTTCTTCCACACCCAGGCTTCCTGGGTAAAGCTAGGAATCTCTCTAGTGAAACCTAGGGAGAGCTGCTTTTCAAAGTGAAGCAAAGCCTGTGTCTTGGGCTTTCTCATGAGACTATTTACAGGAGTATGTCTCTCAGCACTAAACAAGAATGACTGGGGAGGAGAGACAGGGTAATAGATACTTCCCCTCTGGAGGGGGTGCCCTCCAGAACCCCCTACTCCCACTTTTCTCAATATAGTATTACAAGCAAACCAAATTTTCATCTGTTTGCTTCAATGAATCCTTCAGAGACCAAGAATCCTTGTGCAGCTCAGCCTGTTCCCTTGGCCCACCCTGGCTCCCCCAGATCTGCCCCTGGGGTATTTGTTTTTCATTAGATGATGGGTGAAAGCAATTTTGGATATATGTAAATTTCCACCAAATAGATTTTTTTTCTCCTCCCACAGGCCCCTAAGGAGATAATTCATTGCAACAAATTATCACTTTTAATTGTTCTCAGTTCTTGGTTGTTTAATACTCTACTGCCAATTACTGTTTGCCTTCCCTCAAATAGACTAGCCTGCATTTTAAATTCAGAGTCCCCCCACCACTCCACTTAAAAAATAAATCATAGCAAGGTAATTGACAAGAAGGTCGGGGAAGCCACTTAAAGGTTTTATTTATTACCCCTTCAGTAGAGGACTCTTCACGGAACCTAAGGTGGGCTGCTCTTCTCCATCTTCTACTTTCCTGTCCCCTCCCACGCTCCCTCCACCCAAAAAATATCCCTTGAATGACTGAATCTAGCTTCTTCCTCTTATTACTACCCCATCCTTAACAAGGTTTAGAGCCTCTATGGGGCTGTTTCTTTGCACCCGAGGGCTGGTCTGTAACCTGTCTCCATTCCTATTCCATCCCCCCATCTACAGGAAGAGGGTCTACTCTCAAAACAACACAACCAGGGACCAGTCTGGAATAAGACAGTGTTTCTCCCCAAGAGACTGGGGAAGTCTGCAGAAGTTGGGGTTGGAGGAAACCCTGGGGTTTGCAAGTCAGTGTACATTGTCTTTCTCACCAGGACAAAGTATGAGGTTTTGATTCTTTAGGATAGGGTCAGAGCACACGTAAGTGACCCTGTAGGGTTCTTGCTAACTCCAGAGTGTTAGAGAGAAACCTCCTCGTTCCTCACGTCTGGCTTCTAATAGCAGCTGTTTTCTCTTCCAGCAGAATCTCCCTAAGATGGACATAGAAGACTTCAATGGCCGCTCCTATATGTCTGGTATGCCCTCTTGTGCATTCTGTTTGTAAGGGGCTGGGAGCAGACACTCTCCTGTGGAGCAAAGTGGAGAGCCCCAGTTACAGAGCTGACACTCACGCTTGCTAGTGTGCATTTATTGTGGTCATTTTACATTCCGTAAACAGTGATTCTCTTCCCAGACTTCTTGAGGGATGGGGGAGGGGAAGGCAATAGGAAGGGAAGATGAGTGGAGACTATTAGAGAGAGAAGTGATTTGAAACAAAGAGATGGAAGGAAGATGTGTTTCCTTCTCCTGTGCCCTGAGGACACCAGCCAAACTTGACATTCTGTCCCAGCCAGGTAGAGAGTGGAGCAGGATTTCAAATCTCAGAAGCCTGCAGGGGCCATGCAGGCATGTAAATGAATGAACTAGGCTCAGATAATGAGCAGAAGAGACCGATGGGGCTGTCATGAACTGGAGAGCACGTGTCCTAACCTACCTCAAGGAGCAGCAGCTCTGCAGTGTCCACCAGGCACTGCCATGTGGGAGTGTGTATCCCGTGTAGCCAAAACTTACAGTTTTTCAAAAGAAATCAGAAATTGAAATCTTATAGGAAATGTCGCCCTTTAAAAATAATAACTCAGTATTAAAAAAAACCCCAAACATTCCATGGGACAAGCCAAACTGATCTATGGTCTGAATGAATTCAACCAATGGGCCAAGAGCTTACAACCGTTAAAGCAGAGCTTCTCATTTCCCCCAGTCCTTTCCAATCATAAGATGTTGTAGTTTTTAATACTGGCCAAATGCTGTTATTGAGGTGGAAGAGATCACTGCTTATAGTATGGATGGCTGTCAGGGATATGAAAGTAATCAGGATCCCCTCAGAGTTTAACAAGATGAAAAGAAATGAGGAACTTCATCTGGCCTCCCCTCTGAGGGTGGAGAAAAGGGCCTAAGACAGAGTTTGTCTCGAGGATGACAAGAATCATTTTTTGTACCATTAGAATGCCAGGGCAGGAAATGATTTTAAGAGGTAAGGGAAGGGGGATGGGTATAGCTCAGTGGTAAATGCAAGCCTAGCATGTATGAGGTCCTGGGTTCAATCTCCAGTACCTCCATTAAAAATAAAAATAAAATAAAATAAAATAAAATAATAATAATAATAATAATAATAATAATAATATAAAGGCCCACCTTTGGGACCATGGACCCATAAACAAAGAAGAGGGAGGGTATAACTCAGTGGTAACACTCATCCTTAGCATGCACGAGGTCCTGGGTTCAATCCCCAGTACCTCCATTTAAAACAATTAAAATAAATAAATAAACCTAACCCCCCCACCAAAAAACCCTAACATCTCTTAAAAAAAAAAGAGGTGATGGAACCAGAATTGGGTTTTGATGTGATGCTTATCCCCGTTAGTAATCCAAGCACCATTGTAGAAATGACCTATAGCTTACTTTTTTTACCTTAAAGTGGGACCAATGCATGAATTATGGGCATGCACTAAGGGAGACAGCAGGACAGGCCAGACGCACATATGAGAGTCGTTGGCAACACCCGCATGATGTTAAGGAAGAAGTTGACTCTGACCCCTTTCTCATTTAAGGAAGAAAGGAGTTGGAATGGGTACAGGCAGACATTTGATCCCTGCCACATACTGGACAGAGTGACAGGGATCTAGTGGACTGATTTAATTGAAAGAGACTTTATTGGAACTACAGTCATGGCCCTTCTGAGGAGCCACCCAATCTTCCTACCTCCTGCTCAGTTGAGCCTATTCAGAGAACCACTGTTGAGCAACACCAGTTCTCAGGACCCTGCCTTGGTGCTGGGGATCACTCAGATGGAGAAAATCCATCCCTGCCCTAAGGCAGGCAAATGAGAAACTAGGAAGGCAGCTGGGGAAATATCCCGTGGAGCTCTTTTCAGTCCTATCTGTGGAAAAAGTTAGACATTAGACGAAAACTTCTGAGGGTGTTGGCTTTACTGTGCTATGAAACCAAGCTCCCTGGCTTTCAGCAGGTTGGCATTTCTTAGGTAAGAAGAGACTTCTGCACAGGATGGCTTTTGAATGAAAGAGGAAGCCAGAAACCCCTCATCTGTGTTTTGAGAATTCTAGACGTCAGCAGCTACTTGAGAGAGGGACAGGGAACAGTCAAGGTAGGGCTAACCCTCACTCTGAAAAGCAGCCCTGCAGGACTGAGCATGGCTGAGGTAGCCCACCTGAGGGGCACCTGAGCGCCCATGGCTGACCCACCTCTCCCGGACTGATTCGGCAGCAGCGGGAAAGGCGGCAGTGTACACCCCTCCTGAAGCACGCAGCGGCCCCTTCAAGGTCATCACAGCTTTTCTGCCTCCACCCGCATCTGGTGGCCTTCCTTTGCCTGGCCCATGATGAAGCGGGTATCTCTCCTGTTCTTCAAATAGATTTTCCCAACTCACAGAACCTAATTTGGAGTCCATGTTTTCTTCTCCTATCTCTTTCTAAAGGTACAGATCACCCCCTCCTGGGGAAGAGAGGGAAGAAAGGAGGAATCCATTAATTTGCCCCACAGAGGCTCTTCTCACCCCTATTCCCTGTCTTTCAAGTGAAATTGAGTTGCTTAAACCCAGCCCAGGCAATTAATTGACTGAGCATTGCTTGTCCCGAGTTTTCTGGGACTGAGATGTTTAAGGGAACCTTGGCCGAAAAGGATCCAGGGGTAGGCAGCCCAAAGTTTCACGGCCCCTCCCACCCCCAAATTCTTGGAGTCAGAAAATCTAGTCTTCCAAAGTAGGTCAGCACGTCAGTGAGCAGCTCCTCTGGAAGGGAAGGGAGCAGAGGCCTTGTCTTGATAGAGGGCGGATTCATCCAGGGCTGTCGGCTGCTGGGGCCCCAGGGGCACGGGAGGGGAGGGGAGGCGGGGAGGCTATACCAGTATTTTGCCTGGGATCTGAAAGGACTCAGGGCCACAGAGCAACACCAGCCGGAGATCTGGACTGTGCAGGGCCTTCTCCCTGCTGGGAACGGGGAGGCTGTCAGTCCCCAGATCTGGAGAGCGACCTCCCTCCTGGAGGAGGAAATAGAGGAGGGAAAGGAGTGCCTGAGTTTGGTGGGGGAGGGGCTGTCTGCCGATCTGAGAGCCTTGAAGCTGCCCCGTGTCCTGGGCCCCATGACCTCTGAGGCCTTGGCTTTCCCCAGCTGGCAGAGGATTGGGCCTTCCCTGGGGGCCCCCTGTCTCCCCCTACCCCGCCGGTCCATCCATCTCTCTCTCTCTTGCGCACACTCTTGTCTCTCTCAGGCATTTGTTGTGCAGTTCCTCTTTGTCTGCTGGGCACGAGGGCAACGGCGTCTGCCTCCCCCTCCCCGTGCGCACCTCCCACCCCCAGCCCTTCACCGGCTTGGGAAAGGGATGCTGTAGCCTCACGCACCCTCGCCAGACACACATACACACTCTCTCCAGCCCCCTCCCCGGGCACATCCAGGCGTGCGCTGCTCGCGCTCTCCCTCTCTCTCTCCCTCTCTCTCTCTCTCTCACTCTCTCTCTCTCTCTCTCACTCTCTC